TATATATTTAAGTGTTTCTGAATGTATGCTGTGTGTTGTTTAGGATGGACGGGCTGATGTGGTGGCTAACGATGCAGGAGACAGAGTAACTCCAACCGTGGTGGGCTACAGAGACACTGAACAGGTACGACTTTGGCTCCACTTCATGGGTTTGTGCCTGACCCATGCACTCAGTCTTTCCTATTAGCACTAAGCATCACATTAGCTTTGCACGATGTCTGTATAGAAGAAATGTTGATGACCTGTCAATAAAACATTTGCTAAAATATTTGCAGTATTAAAAGTAACAGAAGTTCCTCTGTTATCACAGGTCACATGTTTCTGTGGTCATGTTCTCGTCATATCACCTTATAGTGTCTAGCATAGATCTGTCTGCTGTTTGGTCTGAGGAGCTTAGAAACAAAAGCATCAAGTCAGGACTTGTTTGCAAGCTCCTTAGACTACGATGAGCTGGATGACTGAGAACCTTCAGACACGTCTGCTGTTTGCTTTTTGGGTTTTTTATGGAACTTGAAGATGATTTTTTGCATTGAGGTGCAGAATTATTCTGACATTACTGACGGCTGCTTCCTGCACCTGTGACATATCTACTGCAGCAGCCTTTTAACCTCTGACCTCTTCTGCAGATTGTAGGTATAGCAGCAAAACAGGGACGGGTCCGCAACGCTGCCAGTACAGTCGTCAAAGTGAAACAAGTGCTCGGGAGAAGGTGACACAGCTGACCATGTTTTGTTTACAAATGTGAAACCTACATGATATTATTATAATTATTAATAACTCAAAGAAAAAAGCAACATTATGCAGCTCTAACATTGTTCAGATTGATTGCATCATCACACGTGGACATCAGTCTGGTTTCTCCTCTGGGGAAAACAGTAAACACTGTGGCAGGAATATGGAGGCTCCTGTCCTCTCTGCTACATGCAGTCAGACCATCAGCTGTTACACATGAGAGGGTGGCTTTGATCAGAGCCCATGTAGCAGTTACTCAGTGAGAAAAGCAAACGGATGTTTTTGAGACAGAAATGACAAAAGTCACATTTCTGACAACATTTGTATTCATGCTGTTTGTAGCCTGAGTGAGGAAGGAACGAGTGTTATTATGATCCTTGACGTCCTGTGGACAGCAGCTCATGTGTGTGTGTTTCTCTCTGATTGAAAAGCTTTGATGACCCAGAGATACAAAGGCACAGGACGGAGACCAAATGTCAGGTAGGTTTGAACAACGAATCTAAACCCTCTGAAAGACCAAGAGTCAGGAGCTCCACACAGTTTGGATCCTGGTGCTTTACAGATGAGACTTGCTGAGCCAGCTCGTCTCACTTTCAACACTTTTTCTGGACTCACAGTTTTAAAAAGTTGCCTCAGGT